ACACGTTCTAGTAAAGAATTTACTGCAGTTCTAGACAGGCCTAGATCTAATAAAAGGTTATTTAAATTTGTACTCTTATTGTTTTAATGAGACTCATTTACACGGTGTAATTTTATGTTTTGGCTGATGTAATACGTAAGACTTTATTGTCATTTACATATGTTTTTTTTTCATCAGTATCTTTACCGTCCGACAGAAATATTATCGTCAGAATTTCAAATACATTTTTAAATTTATATATATGTATGTATAAAATTCGTTACGATTAACCTTATGTACAGTATTACATAGCATACACAAAATTTTCCAGAAGTACTATACTTCTAGAAAATTTTGTTAATGCTGTACATCCATAATTTTTTTTTATAAATTGTATATACGTGATATGTCTAAAATAAAATAATATATACCATTCTTTATTTCTTTCATTCTTGGTTATTTCTCTCTTCATTTCTTTTTCTTACTTGCTGTTTCTTTACTTTCTGTAAACGATAATATCGCTTTTTGCTTAACACATTTAGGTAACGTTCTTTGTAAATTTTCTTCTATTTATTTGCTTGTCCTCATCACTTCTGTTCTCCAGCACATCACCTGCTGCTATTCGCCTGCGAGTAGGCAGCACGCGGCGTGATTCCGGCGGCAGGATTGTCAGGGTTTCAAACGTGACAGTGCATCCTCAGTACGGAAGACCAGAGTTCGACAATGATATAGCGGTACTTCAACTTGCACAGCCGTTGACTTTAAGTCCTGCTGTTAATGCTATACGGTTACCGCAAGTTGGAGAGGCTGTTCCTTTGGTGAGGCTAACTGTTACTGGCTGGGGGCTGACTGCGGTTGGTATTTTGTCTAATATTTTTAAACATTTGGTACACATTATTAATATAGTTATACGGGTTTTAATAATTTTAAGGTAAATAAAGGTATTTATTTACCTCTCTCCACTAATTTCTCCAGTAGCGACCAAGGTAGCCCTTGTCGAAACGTCGAGAGACCAATTTTAAACACTGACATATACAACGTTATTGGCTTTTAAATGTCTATCAACAAAACGATTAGAGAAATAATTAATCTTTATTCAAATAAACTTAATATTTAAAAACTTTTGAAAAATCATATTTTTTTTATTCTACTACTCATTTAGAATTGCAAAAAGAATGAGAAGGAACTCGCCTGTTGCTCTTATAGATAATAATTGTGAATAGTCTTACTAATATTATAAACCCCAAAAGTTTGTGAGTATGGGTGGATACATAGATAGATAGATGTTTGTGACTTTTTACGCAAAAACAACTGAACGGATTTTGATGAAACTTTGCACTAATATAGCTTTATATATCGGATTAATATATTTGCTATAAATTTCACGCGGGTAAAAGCGGGCACAGTTAGTTAAATATAAATTGTCGTTAGACTTGGCTAATGTGCTCTCAATTTGTAGCCGCGAGGTCGAAGGATTCCAAGGATCATGATGGAAGCTCAGGTGCCAGTTGTACCACATTGGCTGTGCAGACTATCATATGGTGACGCCCTCACCGGCAACATGTTCTGCGGTGGACACTTCCTCATTGGAGGAGTATCATCTTGTCAGGTAGTCAACTGCATTTCCACCGACTTTAACCTTTTGAGTGCTACGGGTTTTTGTTAAGGTATGCCTAAAATGCCAAGTAAAATCGTTGTTTTTAATGTCATATAGGGTATATCCTTTCCTGCAAAAAATTTTGAATTTGAATTTGAATTGAATTCTGTATTATCTTTAAAAAATTGTCGAATTATAATCATAATGGTCCCTGTGGATCGCTAGACGGCAACTGATTTTGGGAGCGCGATCTTCGACATTGTGACGGTCAAAAAGGTTGATAATAGTGTTTTGCATATATTTAAACGATATTCTTGCTAATCATGAATATTCATTAATATAGTAATCAGTTCTGGCGATTTAGCACACCGCCTTAATTCCGATGGTCGCGGGTTCGATTCCTCGCACGGTGCAAATATTGATATTTATGAGTAACAAACTCATGTTTCGCTCTGGATGACTTCAAATATATTATGTGTGTATTTCCAAAAAAATGTATCTGAGTATAATATTTCTATCAGTTGTTTTGTACCCATAACACAAGCTCTGCTTAGCTGGCGTCTAGATGGCGCTCTGTGAATAGTTCAGGGATATTATAATTATTATTTCTAATTTTTTTTTTGTTATTACTATATAATTAATAATAACTTTTTTGCATATCATTGTAAATTCTGGCCTAGCTATTTTTTCAGTAAATAATGATTGCACGTAATTTTAAACCCTTCTCATATATATTCAAAGTTTTGTATCGCCTACAGGGAGACTCTGGAGGACCAGCAGTATTTCGAGGAACAGCATATGGAGTGGTATCATTTGCTAGAGGCTGTGCACTGCCTCTATCACCAACAGTCTTCACCAATATAGCATCCCTGAGAGACTGGGTGACACAAAATGCAGGAGTCTAAAACAAGAACAACTAAAATGGAATCCTGATTAAAACAGCAACTAAAACTATATCTGTCTTATTTTTGCTTATGCCATTACTAACTAGTTGAAAGAGATAGAATGTACTAATGCCAATTTGGAATTTCACGTATAGTCTAGTACTGATTTCGAGTTCGCGTTGGTTAATTCAGTGTTCTCTGATCTATTAATAACTTCATAAGTCAAAATGTGACAACTATATAGACTTAGCTGCGATGCTCACCAGTGTTCTATATAACTTCTTGTTTTTAATCTAAAACCAATCCTATGTGTAATAAAATTTGGTTCATTTTGCATTGAACTTGTCTGTGATATAAATAAAATTGTTCGCTCTGTTACGTTATACTTTCGTATTATATTTATTGTTATTTTTTTAATAAAGTGTTTTTTATCAATATAATGTTTTTGTATTATATATATAGATTTCTCGTTGCTAATGGGTGTTAACTCTAGGAATATCTGCATTTACTTTTTCTTCTAAATACATTAATATTAAAAGATTTAAGGTCATGTACAAACTAGTTGGTAGTCGCAGTTACAATATCTGCCACTGATTCTTATGTAGAAATGTCCCATAATGATTACTATATTACGATATAAGTGCGAGGCGGAATTTGAGCTCGAGCCGATAGCACGGGCGTAAAACAGCCGAGTGTGTTAAATACGCACACATATTTAAAAAACTTACTTGAGGAAACAGAATAAAGAAATATGATATTATATTTTATTACTCGACCATAAAACTGTGATGCACACTGTTGCATTTCTGCCGTTTTACTTTTTATATCAGTTCGCTACCAACTGCCTATCTCCGCGCGGTGGGCACTTCGAAGATTTGAAAAAAAAAGCAAATATTGGTTATGTAATATAACTATATAACTTCACTATTTGAGTTTATAACGCACGCGTGCTTTATGATCTGCTGGATATGTCGGAAACCAGTGAAATTAAATTCACTTTACGAATGAGTCATGAGTGTGTAGAATAAAAAAAAATCTTAAAAAATCTAAATATCTTTTTAAAATTATAAACTTATGCGATAGGTTACAAAACCGATCGCTTCTAAATTTGAAATACGACGATTTCTATCTGGCTATGTTTTCCAATAATTTTGATTCATTTGAAATCGTTTTGATGTTGCTTTGATAACATATTACTGTGCAATTACACGCAATCGTTGAATGTTAACGAGATTTTAGATTAATTGAGAGTCTATAGTTGTTTATGGTTAAAATATGACAAGAACTAGTGAATGAAGAAGTTATGAAAACCATGTTTAATCTACCGCTCATTCGGAAAGCTTTCTCATCACATAAAGAATCTGCAAGAAACTTGTCTGTTTCTACTCTCTTTTAAACAATCCTTAGGTATAAGTTCACATTTCGAAATTTCACAAGTCGAAACGTGTGAATACAAACTACCAACCAGCACTAATTTATTTAGGTTCAAATATAAAAACACAATAAGATTAAATCAGTCGTAGTGAGATCCCTACAAGCAGCACTCGTTCACGAGTATGACGGATGAGCCAACCATCACTGCGCTCGATCATTTTTCTTTTAGTGAGGTTTTTACAAAAGCTTTTACATTTATTTACATGCAAATCTGGATGTACTGTAACTGATGGTGGATAGATTTAAAAAAATATATTTATGAAATAAAAATGCAATATTTCGATAATGTCTCTGTTGATTTGAATTTTATTCTGTTTTTCGACATTCTTTTTTATTATATTTTGCAGACACATCGCATATATTTGTAGGCTGCCAGTTAAATTTACTTTTTATGTAGAATTCTACAGTAACCTACCTGATTAGACAAATTCTGTTAGATGGATTTTGAGAGCAATTATTACGATTACTCGCGGAATCCATGGATCGCTTGGATTTCGTGGAAAAAATGTTTGGTATTACAAGGAGTTAGGTTAACATCTACGCCTATTTTCTACCCTGGTAAGCAAGCAATGTAGTGTTTATTGAAATCATCCCTAGATATCGTCGTGGTTGATTCTTGATGTATTAATTGATGAAATGATTTAAGTCTATTCTCACCATGTCATATTTCGCGAATCTCTGTGTTGCTATTTATATTATCTGTGCTATTACTAAACTATTTACGGTGCTGCGATTGTTGGTTTACCATTATCATCCTTAAAAACGGTTGACTGTATCGTAACTTGTACTAATGTTAATAAACTTCTATTATATAAATATATTGAAACTATGTATATGTTTAGCGGTTTAGCACATTGATTTATTTTCGATGGTCACGGATTCGATTCCTCGCACTGTGCAAACATTTGTATTCATGAGTATGATTGTTTGTATTGGTCTGAGTGTTTTCTATGTATATTATGTGTGTTTTTACAAATATACATTTAAGTTTTTCTATCAGTTCTCTTGTCACAATAACACAAGCTGTTTAGCTTGGGACTAGATGGCACTGTGTGAATTATCTTCTGTATTATTATATTATTAACAGTATTATTTCTCGTTTTCAGGTATATGAAATGTTCTTAATTGGTTATCAATTTCGGGTGCTATCACCAATCTTCACCATCCACTGGGGGCTCCAAGCACGGAGGTCCCGCCCTCTTTGGAGGGAGAAACAGAATGAAAAGAATCGGAAGCACTTTGAAACCTTCAAGAGGGAGTTATTCGCGAGGTATCGAAGAGATCCCCTTCATCTTTTAAGGAAACCACCTCAGGCCAAGAAAACATAGGCATCGCAAGGCCGTGCGACTAGTCTTGCCGGCCTGTTAAGTTTGTCAATATTTGTCAGATGTTTCTGACATCGGGTGGACTTTTAAAGTATTGTGAACCTTATGCCGTTGTGATAAGTATAGTAGTGTCGAATTGAGAAAGATACCTATATCATAGTATATATTATATTGTAAACTCGCAGTAGTAAAAGAATGAAGTGGGAATGCTATGGACAACAAAAGTGTTGTCCTTTTTCTGTAAATAATTATCTTTTTTAAGACACTGTTGTAATTTTATTAAATTATAAATTGTTTATGTTTAAATAAAATGATACATTAGTCCAGTCATTATAGTAAGTTCACCTCGGAATTCGAGATACCCAGCTGTAAATCTGTAAATACTTGTCTACTGACACCCTAAAAGTTGTCTCAAAACCTACATATGGTAGAGTATGCGCAACTATTAAATTTCAATGTCAAAAGTCAACAAAATCGATTTTTTTTGTAAATATTTGATGAGATTCTTACAAAATTTAAGCTTAAATGACTAGACTACATTTATTATATAGGACATGACTGAATATTGAATTTACTTCTGTTATTCATTATTATTTATCAATATCAAAGATATCATTCTTGCAATGAGTTTATAATATATACTATATTTTGAGATTTTAGTCATAAGTACACTTTATACAGATACACTTGTATATTACAAAGAAGAAATAATTATATTTATGTCAGTTCAATCTATTTTAATAACAAGACAGATGATTCAATCAAATTTTATATTTATACATATTTTGATTTAGTACAATAGTCAATATTGCAACGGTTTTGATATTTTTTTTTGTAAATAACGGAGTTTTTCTTTCATATATGTAGATCCGATATAAAATTATTATTGTCAGGTTTTTATTGAAGGAATTATGAAAACTATCTATTTACTTATTGTTTATCTGGATTGTTCTACAATATATTGTTAGATATTTGTAATACTGTTTCAGTAAATAATTTTTGTTAGAATTTTTCCCTAACAATAATAATAATTTTATGGGGATTATTAGAATATTATTCTAAATAGATCTACACATTTTTTATATATTTATTTTCTTCTTCTTACTTGTTATATAATTATTATTTCATAAATACATTATTACACTGTTATGCACTCGCCTAAGCATTGTTAGATATTGTAATAAATAATTGTTGTAGAAATAAACTGTTGTAAATTTCAGGCTTTCATTAAAGTTACGCATTAGATGACTGTCATGATAAACGTCATCCGTATCATGAAGGTTAGATGCCGAGGTATAATGATCGTATTATTAACTAACTATTATTTATATTATATATGTCTTTACAAAAAAAATTAAGCATTCAGATGTTGTCGCCCAAAGTAAAGTTCTGTTTATTTTGGATCTATCTCATGCTATGTGAATTGTTCTAAGTTATCATTATTTTTTCTAACAATAATATAATGTAAACTTATATTTCCCGGGTTATTATTTGATTCAAATGATGGTTACGAAGTACCTACTTTTCTTCATTATAATACCTTAATTGAAATTATTGGTGTTCATGTAAATTTAACACAGTTCAGGTTTAATATCGTAATCACAGATAACATAAGAATTAAACAATAAACTGTAGCGAGGAAGAAGACTCGAGTTTCAGCCGAAATTTATTAATTTATTTTTAGTTTATTAATGTTGCATTTATACGTAACAATAAATTAATTTTAAACAATGTAACAAAAACGAATACTAAACTCATTTCACAGTTGCTTAGAATTGTACACATTATATAAACGGGACTATTCGACTCGCCTCGCCTTGACTTGACTCGACTCGACTCAATCAGACTATCGAACTTTATCGACTCGAAGTTTCGGGAGCTCATAGATAATACATTTCGTTTATTATTCGTTTATTTAATGTATACAATTGCATAATATACAGACATATGTATATGTTATATCATTAATAATTATTTATTAATAAAATGTAGACATATTAGTAAATAAAAGCTTATATATATAGCTAGATAGACATGTATAACAGGGAGTACGCTGTAAATTATTATACTTCTTTTATTAAGTAATTAATATAATGAATTAGGTAAGTAGCAATATTTATAGTAAATTTGTATTGTTTTGTATATTTTGTAACTGGTACATCCTATTCTATCCTAGCGTAGATTACAAACTACCTCCTTTATAACTTCATGTTTACTTGTATTGGCGACATTGGTGTTTCAGGCGTCCATAGGATACGGTAACCGTTCACCATCAGATCGTCGGTATTACTGTTTGCCACCATCGTGGTATAAAAATACTTATCTGTCTTTAGAGATTTCGCTGTGTAATACTATTGCAATGAGTTCTTATTTGATGTTGTTTAAGATGGAAAGTTTTGTGATTTAATATGAACTAGCTACTCGCTCCGGGTGTACGTGTTGGATCATTCCTCCCTTTTTTTGTGTTGAAATGTTCAATCATGTTGTTGTCATCAAACATGTTGAATCATTCTCACCTTCTACCACTATCTATTAAAAAGAAACGCTTCAAAATCCGTTGCGTAGTTTTAAAGATTTAAGCATACATACAGGCAGCGACAGTGACTTTGTTTTATACTATGTAATGATTAGAATTTCATTGGCGAACCATATAATCCGGCTTATATCCGTACTATTACAAACGGTTCATATATTATTGATAAATATTGAATTTCTGTAACTGTCTTTTTAATGTTGCATTATATAAACGGGACTACTCGACTCGCCTCGACTCGCCTCGACTCGACTCGAAATATAAAACAATTGCTTTACATAATCAAGCCACAGATCTCTTATGGGGATAGATACATAAATATAATAAATATTACTAAAAGAATTAAAAGAAATTATTAGTTAATTTTAACATAGTCCAGTTATTTTTGAAAAGACTTTTATTTATAATTTAACTGTAGATTTATACAATATCACATTATATTCGATTCATAACATGAACTATTTATTGTTATATAATGTAATGGCCTATTTACTGTTGTTTTATAACATGTTTCGTTATCATTTAGGTGTTAGATTTTATATAGGGATATTTAAGTTAAAACTGCTAGTTCCTTACCCCGTTCCGTACTAAAACGTGATACTATGATAATTTTCTACAAATTTTGTGCATAGGATACGGCAACTAATATCAACGTTTCACACTAGTCAGATTTTCTTTAAACAAGTTTATTTTTAGACTTACAAGTAAAAATATTTTTTCCTTCCTATCTTAAGCTCATTCGCATGAACAATGCTATGCAGTATAAAAATTTGATTAAATATGCAAGACATTGGAATTATAATGAATTTTAAGAATAAAAAATAAAAAGACCGTTTATTTACTGTAATAATAGAGTAAGCTGAGTAGAGAGAAACGTAAATATTTACGGCAAAAGTTTGATTGAAAGTATTGCTGTCGTGTTTGTGTGAGGGGAGACGGAAGGTCTCTGAATATAGATAGAACAAATAATTTTTTTTTCGGACTACTCTAATGCTGTTGGCTGCAGCTGGCCTTTACAGTTTCACCGGACGATAGAACCGCGGAAGGACTTATGGAGCGGCTGAAGGCCAACTCCCGCCTGACGGATACGACTTTAGCCTGAGCGCACCGCTAGGGGTTCGAAGCTCAACTTCGACTTCGACGAAACGAAGATCGATATTACGATTCGCCGTCGTAATATCGATCCCTGTTTGAGATGGACGGATCGATCGGAGAAAGGATGAAGAATAACTACATCGTTTTTTATAGCGTGGAAACATTCCTCTTAGAACGAAATATTTAGTGCAGTTATTTTTGACAATGATCTCACACAAAGGGAGGGAGAAGAAAAGTTGGATGGAATGTGTGAAAGATGAGATGCGAGTAAGCTCAGATATGTAGACCGATAGTGATCTGTAAAGGACGATGAAGGTAACTTATAGCAGTATTACTTTCGCATATATAATTTCATGCTGAAAAGCACACACTTATTTGTAACTCCATACTGAAAATCACATACTTATATCTAACTTCGTAGTAAAAAGTAACAACTTATTTCATTCATTGTTACACCAACACTATACTTTTTGTATATTTTGATTTAAAGTTTATAACTCACTTCATTCATTACTGAAATAAAATTATTTTTGTATATAATACTTTAATTTTATATTTTATGTAAATTTTCATATATTTATTTAGAATTTTATGTTAGTCTAGTATAATAAGTAAATAGTTGCTGTATAGACAAAAAAACTAGTAGGTATGAAAGAATGAATAAATTAGTATATTAATTATTATGTTCCTTTGAACAAAATAATTGTTGAATGCGTTGTAAAACTCAGATGTATGTTAGACTTAATATTGAGCTTTGTAATTTAACTTAATATAGTCTATGTAATAGATAATTAATTGTAAGAAATTGTATAATAAACCTGTTTTAAAACAAGCATAGTATAGGTGATGTGGTTTAAGATTATATATGTAGATTTGTTTACTTTCATTGTCACTGAATTGCGAGGTATAATAATAGTAGGGGTAATGTTACAACATGATTTGAATTTTGTATAATGAAATTTTATTTTTCAATTTTCTATTGTAAAAATTTAATTTTGAATTTTGAATTGTGAAAATTTATAATTGAATTTTGAATCGTGAAAATATAATTTTGAAATTTAAATAAGAAAATTTAACTTTAAATTTTTTATTTAATTTTATATAGAGATACAGATTATGCATAAAATTACATTAATTAATAAAAAAAACGTTACACATATTACCATGTATTTAACACACACGCATATATACTCATTTGTTTATTGTGAAAGTCTGTGCTCAAATTGAGAATAGATTAATATTGTTTGTTTTTAATATTACTTGTCTATAGTCTTACTGAATGTTAAATTAATTATGGCCGAACTCTGACCACCTGGCGACCATTTAAAAATCGCCAGGTAGCAAACCTAATATTTTTTAATGATATTTTTTTTCTACTTTTTATATATTGTCACCAGTACTATGCTATTATAAATCAGGTATGAAGCACCAAAGATGTAGGTAATGTAAGCACAAATAGATATTCGTTGTTATCATATTTAAGTATTTAAGGGTAGTCATAATTAATTTTTAATTGTGGCTTCACTATTTTAGCAATTTTAAGTGCGATTAGTACAATCTGGGATTATTTTAAACTGTACTTATCATAAATATTATATTCTTATATTTATATTACATATGTATATATTTATATATATTTTTCATTCATAATTTAAGAGATATGCTCCTGTCGGTGGAGTTTATATTTCTAGTTAGTCCAAAATTAATTAACACTAATTTAACTGACTTCTAAAGGGGTCTATATAGTTATTTTTTTGTATTTTCATGTACTACGCAATGTTATTGCTAGTTGTGTAATGATTTGAACGGTTCTAATTAAATCCAAAAAATCATTTAAACCACAGGTATTATAATTCAACGGGAATTTTAATAATACTAAATTTCGATTTGCTGATCATCTTAAAGGTAACCTTACCGTAAAGGAAGTTTATGTAATATTGGGCCTAATGAATATAGAAATATAAGTTATAATTGGTTGTAAACTGTAATTGTACCATTGGGCCATAAATACTGATATTATAAACGAAAAAGAGACGAGCTTCTCAGCATACCATGGATTCACCGTGCAGGTGCCGGGACCATCGTGTGGTAGAGAGGGAAACTCCGAGCTGTTCCCGAGACTTGTGACCCGGGTGTAGGTTTAAGTTGGCTCTTTACCTACGTACATCAATACTCACCTTCACTGCTCGTGTTTATCTCCCTGCCTAGCAGGTCTAGTAAGAGCGTGCACTTGGAGCTTTAGATACACACTAGCTTTTGCCCGCGGCTTCGCTCGCATTAATTTATCCCCTTAGGGGTGGAATTTATCAAAACCCTTTCTTGGCCTACGTCATAGTAGCTTTATGCATGCAAAGTCTCAGCCCGACCGGTTTAAAATTGACAAAGTTTCATACAAACCTTCATGTCCTATTTTATCCCCTTGGGAATAGAATTTATCAAAATCCTTTCTTAGGGGATGGCTAAGTCATAACATGTACCTGCATGCCAAATTTCAGCCCGATCCGTCCAGTGGTTTGGGCTGTGCGTTGATAGATCACTATGTCAGTCACCTTTGAGTTATATATATTTAGATTCTAGTTGGGATTGGGCTCCCTAAAATATGGTCGAGCGCAGTGATGGCTTGCTCATCCGTCATACTTGTGAACGAGTGCTGCTTGTAGGGACTGGTCTGTTCTTATCACTACGACTGATTTAATCTTATTGTGTATTTATATTTGAGCCTAAATAAATTAGTGCTGGTTGGTAGTTTGTATTCACACGTTTCGACTTGTAAAATGTGAACTTACAAGGATTATTTAAAAGAGCGACACACAAGTTTCTTGCTTATTCTTCTAGTGATGCGACAGTTAACAGAATGACCGGGAGATTAAAAAAAATTTGTTAACTATTCAAAAGTGCTTAAATTTTATTTGAATAAATGACTTCTGATGAAGACAGAAATTTTCTTACTATACGGCATGTGTTGAGAATGATGGCTTTTTGTAATAGTTCAGTTTAATTCTATTATTATTATTTGTTTTATAATAGTTAATAATATTTTAATTTAAAATTCCATTCCTAAAATAATACATTATGTAATTCTAGAACTATATCGAATTATTAAATATAAAATACTAACTATGTATTCGTGTAGGTATTTCCTAATTTATGCGTATATTGTTATCAGTTGGTTAATTATTAGTTGTTAATAGAAAAATGTACAGTTGATAAGTATTATATGTAATAGTGAATACTGTTAATAAAACCCCAATCTTGGTTGTTTTTAATAAAGTTCATTTTAAGTTTGCACAAGGATGGTTTTATTGTCTCGCTTGTTTTGTTAGCATCCTGACCTGCTGTTTTACTATTCCACCTAGATCACACTTCGTATCTAGTTGACAACAAAAATTTTGTTATTTTAAATTTCCAACTAACTCTCCGTTAAAAAATAACACCGATAACAACCCAAAAATATATGAAAGATGCCGCTAAAAAGGCCTTCTGCCACAGAAACCTAAAAATATCTGAAAAAGTGGTAAGCTAGTCCTTGCCATGACAAATATGTATATACCTATTCAGTGCAACTTGGATATCAAGTGTTATGTACTACGACGAATGTTTACCACTACATCGAAAACAAGACTTCTGACTATCCCCTCTGGCAGAACAGCCGTGATACTAGGGGTATTATATTACTATTTGGGTACCACATTGTATTATTCTTAGATGCTATGATAGAAGGAATTATGATGGTAATGAAGAGATAACAATAAAAAATCATATAAGTTATGTTAATATGAATCTGGGGTTTTTAACATGAAATAAATATACATTTTTATGACTGAACCTATAATTATCCTTAAATACATTTCTACTTCTTCATATTTGTATATACAGGAATTAAAAAAATTCTTTGGTAACAAAATATAATATAATCTGAATATGCACTCCACACGTAACCAGATATAAATTAGATACATGGAAAACTAATTTTCCACTAAAAAACTCAATTATGAAACTCGATATTTCTCGTATATAATCAGTTATCATACATATATTTTAACTAGCTTTTGCCCGCGGCTTCACTCGCGTTAATTTATCCCCTTAGGGGTGGAATTTATCAAAATCTTTTCTTAGGGGATGCCTACGTCATAGTAGCTTTATACATACAAAGTCTCAGCCCGTTCAGTTTAGAATTGACAAAGTTTCATACAAACTTTCATCCCCTATTTTATACCCTTGGGGTAGAAATAATCAAAATCCTTTCTTAGGGGATGCCTACGTTATAACATCTACCTGCGTGCCTAATTTCAGCCCGATCCGTCCAGTGGTTTGGGCTGTGCGTTGATAGACACTGTGTCAGTCACCTTTGAGTTATATATATTTAGATTCGTGAAGCCAAGACTTTTTATGAAAATTGCGCGAAATTTCGCACACATATTATTATAGGTGGAAGGAGGGCAGAATGATAATATTTAGTCTAAAGTGTGCATAAAAAATACATTAAATCCATAAAGAAAAACACACATACTCTTTGGTAATAGAATCTTAATAAAGTTCAAACTTATGATTATATTAATTACGGTTGAATTTCGACTATTGGGCGTCCACTACTTATATGCAAAAAACAAGCCGGCATCGATGTGATTATGTAGTGGAATTAGAGTCACTTTTCCTGGTCAGATGTCCTTGCACCCAGTCCCAAATGACGGGATGTGAGAGTCTGGTATACACGCCGGGAAAGTTTCCCCTGGCGCACCCCAACCCCCAGGATACTACTCCTATCAGTACTCCATCCTTCACTAACGGACCGCCACTGTCACCCTGAAATAAATGAATAGCTAATATTACTACCTACAATTTGCTATCACTTTTTTCAGTTTCAACTGATGGAATATAGAAGAACAAAGTAGCGGTGTAGTGTTTGTTACATAGACTTATAAATTAGATTTAGTTAGGCCGTTATGAAAAAAATTGTGTTATCATTTATATTTCCCAACTGAATCTCTGGTGGATACACCGATGACAAAGAAAGAAAGAAAAAAGAAAATATTTACAATACAGAACTAACTCTTTGCCATGTCATATTCAAATGTAGGTATTCGGTTAAATATTGAGGGTATATTAAGGGTAGTTATCGGCAACGTGATACCCCTGGTGTCTCAAATGTCCATAGACTACGGTAACCATTTACCATTAGATGGGCCATATGCTTGTTTGACACCATTATAGTATCTAAAAAAAGCTCAAGTTGACAGTTCAAATTCCTCTGATTACTTTCAATTCGAGGCTAGTATCAGATTTAAATGGTATTATAAAAGATTTTCTTTGCGTAAATACATAAATAGTTCTAATTATACTATTTCTGTGGTTCCCAAATAGTTTTTGCTGCGTACCACTTGAAAAAAGACCTCAAACCTTGCGTACCCCTTTATTGTAACAATCACACTATCGACGTTCTCGTCCATCGACGACCTCGGTGGTCTAGCGGTCTAGTACACCGGTTTACGACCGATGGTCGCGGGTTCGATTCCTCGCACGGCACAAACATTTGTATTCATGAGTATGATTGTTTGTATCGATCTGGGTGTTTTCTATGTATACTATGTATGTATTTACAACTTTTGAATAGTCATATTTATTCCATTCGGAACGCATACTCATCAAAATAAGAATGCGTAAGAAACTTGCGAGTTGCTCTTTTAAATGAATGATTTTCAGAATTTTAGTAAACAAACTGCCAAATAGTAAAGTCGATATAAATAAATACATAGTTTCTTTTCTTTTATTTTACTATTACCATAGCGCCATCTAGGCCCATGGTAAGCAGAGTTTACGTTATGTGTACTAGACAACTGATATATAGTAAATACTTAGATGTTTTTTTGGTAAATACATAGATAATATACATAGGAAACATCCAGACCGATCATACTCATGAATAGAAATGTTTGCACTGTGCGTGGAATTGAATCCGCGACCATCGGAATTAAAGCGGTAAAATTATTGATTCGTACGCTAAAACTATTGATTTGATAAAAAAAAAGGTAAACATAAATTATAGGAATTTTTCTCTAGTTTAATTTATTATATAACTATTTTGATCGTAAAATGAGTCGGAAAGGAGATATTGTCAAAAAACTGTTTTTAGACGCCATTTTTCCAATATGGCGGCGCGTGCGGGAAAGATACGATGGGAAACTTGAAATTCGCAAAGAGCTCATTGAAATCTATAAAATTGCCAATTTTCAAAACTCCCGCAAAACTTTGCAGGTAACCTCAGTTTTTACCACCAAATGACATACATAGTTATCAGAGCAGACCAGTCCCTAAGTAATATTTATGATGACAATTGTTTCCTCCATTAGGTTATTACATACTTGACAAGCATCAGGCGAGGGTTGCTCGAAGAAGCCAGCACAGAACATGGATGCAGGGTCGATGGCTTTTCTATCAAGTCCAGACCGTTGGCACAGCTTCATAGCAATTGTTTTTATTGTGGAAGACTGCAGATATGGAGCGCTGGGACCTCCTTCCTTGTTATCGAAATTAAATCTATTCTCATTAACAATATAAGTGCGTCTGTCTGTTATCTTTTTACGATTGAACGGCTGAACAGATCTTGATGAGATTTGACATGAAAATATATGGTATTATGAAATAATTATTCTATCACTCATTCGGAACGCAGACTCATCACAAGAAGCTTGTGTGTTGCTTGTATGTTATATATGTTATATTTACACAATAACAAGTAAGAGGCATGCGATAATCAATATAGAAACCACTGCGCACTCATTCCTAATGCAATCAGATAATATTGTCAGCGCTATGAATTTTAAGTGTTCAGCCGTTTGTCGTGTGGTCTTCAGCCGCTCCACTTATGGAGATAATGACTTATCATTCTGCGGGTTTGGAGAGCCATCTGCACTCGCCCCCTATCGTCCGGTGAAGCTGTAAAGGCCAGCTGCGGCCAACAGCATTAGAGTAGTCCGAAAAATAAAAAAAAATATATTGTCCAGAGATATTATTATTTACTAGCTCTGCTTGCGGTTTCACCCGCCTTAAATTAAAAAAAAAATATAGCCTATATGTTATTTTGATACATAAGCTATATTACTGTAAAGTTTCATCAAAATCCGTTCAGTTTTTTTTTTGAGTGAAAGAGTAACAAACATCCATACTTACAAACTATCGCGTTTATAATATTACTAGCTAAATAAATAATATAAATCTTTCTCTTGAATCACCCTACATATGAAAATGTTATATACTATGTAATGATTAAGATTAAATTGTTTGTGAGGATCCTACTGCTTATTATGCTGTTATTCGTTATTACCTTCAACTTTCCCCATCCTGAGATGATGGCCAGCCCATCAGCTGGTACTCTCGCCTCTTTAGCCACCATCCTAATAGGCAAAACCTTCGCGGAGAATCTCAATGGTGTGTACAGTCTCACTAGACCCACGTCGTTCACTTTGGTCTTGCTGACGTATTTGGGATGGACAAAACTTTCTTTGACGTCGTACATTTCACCCCCATGCGTTTTCCAAGACGAGCCGAGTCGGACGCTCAGCTCGCTCGAGCGGGCTCTGTAATATAAGCATATATGCCTATGAGTGGATGTATATATATGAATGGGACTGCAGATGAATCTGGACAAGACAAAAGTAATGTACAATGACTTCGTTCTCTCAAGTCCCGTTACCGTCGGAAATGAGAACATCAAAAACGTAAATGACTATGTACACATAGTCGAGATACATCTCGGACAGGTCATAGAACTTACGCGGGCAAATGTCAACAATGAGATCGACAGACGCATTGGGCTGGGCTGGTCTGCGTATGGAAAATTCCGTCACATCTTCACGGCACGAATCCCTCAATGTTTGAAGACAAAAATTTTTAACAAATGTATTCTCCCAGTAATGACTTACGGTGCAGATAATGGACATTAACCGTAGGCCTACTTCACAAATTAAAAGTCGCACAGCGGGCGATGGAGAGCTATGCTCGGAGTTTCTCTAAGAGACATGATCCGAAACGAGGAAATTCGACGGAGAACCAAAGTGGACGACATAGCTCTCAAAGTATGTCAGCTGAAGTGGCAGTGGGCCGTGTATATCAGCAGAGTCAGCGATGATAGATGGGGAAGAAAGGTTATGGAGAGGTCGCGTATGGGTCGACGGAGTGTCGGGCGCCCTCCTGCAAGATGGACCGACGACATCTACGAATGAGACTCTACGAGTCGAGCGGCTGCGGTTGCGGGGAATCGCAAGAGGACCTCCACCACGTTGTATGGGAGTGCTCCCTATATTCCGATCTCAGGGGGAAGCTGCTGGAGGGGATACGTCGCGGTGAAGGCGAAGGAGAGGGTTCGGTGTACTACCCGGACTTGGTGTCTACTGAGGAGAATTTTAGGAGGCTGCGGGAGTTCCCGCATCAGTGGCACCGGAGGCGGAGCGAGTACGAGAGGACTGCTGGTGGTACGCGTTCAAGAAGGAAGGACACCGCTGAAGACGGAGAGCTGGGCCGAGCCGGCACCGAAGCTGTCGAGGTTTCGTCCGCTGCCCCAGAAGGGGGAGAGTGCGACAGAGGGGACAGGAGTTGAAATAATTTGTAGGGGTCAAGAGAATGCGTGCTTTTCAGCGCGCATTCCCCGCAGATTCGGCCAGTATAACCGAGAGGAATTGGAGAGGAGAAAGAGGAGTTAGAATGGCCATGGGTTGGTGGAGGGACCGACGACATCCCGAAGGTGGCCGGGAGTGGATGGATGCGGAAGGCGGAAGAGCGCACATGGTGGAAGTCTTTAGGAAAGGTCTATGTCCAACAGTGGACAGACACACGCTGATGATAGATTGATATATATATAATATAAGCTAGCAGATCCATTAAACGTTTTACCATATAAATTGAAGTAATGATATATGTAGTTATAAAAAAAGGGTTGGTCGTATAAAGTAAGAACATTTTCAAGTTGTAAGCATTTTCAATACTAAATCATAATAAAAAAAAAATATTTAGTGATATTTCACCCTAATCATTGAAGAGTATGAAGTAATATGATGATATGCCGATTCTTGAACCTACCTGATATGCACACAAAGTTTCATAAAAATCTGTAAATTTCTTTGGTAAAAAAAAACGCGATACGAGAATTTTATATACTAGAAAGATATTAATAATGTATATAAACGATCTCAAAATTTTTATTGTTATGTGATTTTAAATACCCGTCGTAAATAGAGAGGTGTAATAAGTTTGACATGTATGTGTGTCTGTATTTGGTATCGTAGATCTTAAACTAATAGACGTTTTTTTTTTGTTTGAAAACAATCGCAGTGTGAATAAAAAATCTATTGAACTGATTCTTTTTTGTGATCTGAAGTATTGCGCTTGCGTTATATATATATAGATAGATTGTTTCATTGTTTCTAAAATTTATCAGATAATACAGATATTGCGAGACGTCGGTAGTTAACTCGCCTAATTAAATTTTTCCATTGAGCAACTCGCTACAGCTGAGATAAATCAATTAGTTGGAAATACCTGAAATATAGAAATTTCCGGCCTAGACCTAGGGCCTTGGGGATTTTAGAAAGGTGTAATGTAATAGAAAACAAAACGAATGGCCAGATTTTGCAATATTCAATATTGTTATTTTCTTTGATGTTTTGTTTCTGAGGAACGTCACAGTTGTTGGTTTAGTGTTGAGTCAATTTCCGGTTAGGTACTTTCTAATTAACAGAGGTTTAATATGAAAAAGTTAAATTTCACGCGAACGGAGTCACGGGTCACGGGTAAGCAAGTAATATATTTATTAGTATAGATTATTATTCAAATGAACTTAATATAAGTGCATTTAATAGTAAATTTGTTATTCTACTTGTATACTAGTAGTGCAGATTAGGAAGAGTGTTATAAAAATCAGGCTGATTGACCACATGTGCCGTCAGAATCAGTTCAGTCGTTTCAGAGTTGGTAGGAACGAACAGACAGACAAAATGTTTTTAATTTAATTTTTTATGCAAGTACCTTATTCCTTACGATTGATCCCCCGTCCAATTCAAACGGGGACCGATGTTACGACGGCCTGAGCCGAGGTTCGAACTGCTAGCGGTGCCCTCAGACTAAAGTCGTATCCGTCAGGCGGGAGTTGGCCTTCAGCCGCTCCGTTAGTCCTTCCTTGGTTTGGAGTGCCATCTGCACTTGCCCCCTATCGTCCGATGAAGCTGTAAAGGCCAGCTGCGGCCAACAGCATTAGAATAAGGAAATAAGGTACTATATATTATTGAGAATTAATTTGTACTCATGTTTTTGCACATAAATTATTGAATTGAATTGAACAAATCCTCAACTTAACAAAATGAATTATACTCAGGTATTCATTTTAACATTTAATCTTGATAATAATGAGATTTAATTATGAAATATTAATGTATTACTTCGTTAAATTATGCAACGGATTTTAATACAGTTTTCAGCAATAGATATAGTGATTTGAGACGAAGATTTCTATGTATAATATATGCGTATTATAGTACAGAAAGCCGAGAAATTCAAAGATTTATAATATATCCGTGTGAAGCCGGGACGGATTGCTAGTATTAAATAGTAAGTTCTAGAACGAAGAATATTTTACATTGTCTCATTGAAAAATGTGTTTTCCACCCCAATAAATAAATAGCGGGCGATTCGCTGAATGCGAGTTTTATACGATCCTCGGAACACAAGTCTATTTAATGGCTCTACGAGAAGACAAACGAAATGGATGTCCTTTAATACATACAATATTGGACCGGGATGCAAGTCCTACATTTTATCAGCAATGTATCGCTTTCAAAGTGGGTGAAGATAAATTTCGCGAGAACAACCATAAACTTCTACTGAGCGTCCTTTCTGTCTATCTATCTAGGCATTCTTTCTACCAGGATTGCCAACCGTATGAGGATTGTATAGTTAACACTATTAGATTACTGGTCGGTACGAGGTACGATGATATCGTCAACATCATCAAATCATCATCAAATCAAATCAAATCAAAAATTATATATTCATGTGACATGGACATTTTAGCAGCTTATGAACAAGTCGAAAGTTTTGTATTAATATTTTCCCTACCATCTAGTTCAGTACACAGATTAAATAACAACTGACAAAAAACTGAAACATTTTTATTTAAAAACCAGTTTATTCACATTGTGTACTGTGTACTTACATAGGTATCTAACATTAAATGAAAATCCCGTGTATGAACAACTATTGCCATGCACGATCGTAATTTATGTAATCGTGTAGTGAGTAATAAATAGGCTTTGTTCAATGAATATATATTTAATAGGTCATCAAAATATAGATAGATAAATAATTGATTTATTGCCAACATAACACAAATAATATAATTTACAATAAAACAGAAAATTACATAGAAAGTTGGTAATAGGAGCTGTTTCAGCTGTTGCTAACATAAGTACAAACTCAACGAGGTGCACCTATATAGTCCTGGTTCAGGTTATCCCCATTATTCGTTAAAAAAATAACATGCGGGTTTTTTTAACTGTATACAGATACATATAAATTTATTTAATTTAAGATAACAAAAAAAAAAAATAAGATCTAGAATAATTACACAAAATATGTAAGAGAACTCTTATGTAAGAGGCAAAAAGTGTTAATGTTGGCAGCCCTGTTTGGGCTTATTTCACTCTTCGGCACCTATACTTTGAGAGACAGAATCGCACCGTAGGCACCCGCGGGCGATTGCTGTTTTGCATTCGAAAAAATACAATTCACTCGAGGATAAATTGAAATTGTGGGTAGGAGCCATTCACGAGGGGTAGACTATAAAGGATGTCGTATACACGACGCCCGGTCGAATTTATTCAATACCAACCACGGCTGGTAGCGGTTGGTAATATTGTGTGACGGCGTGAGATTTGGACGGATTTTCGGTCAGAAACTGTGGATATGCGAAACGTTGTCCCCCGGGATGGTTGGGATAGGATTACGCGTTTCGGTAGATAAAATTACTTGTATGCTGTAAAATGCGAGGACTCGATGACTGTGATCCTGTTTTATATACATCGGTCTATTTTAACGCTGTCGCTTTTGGAGTAGGCAGACACAAATGCACTCTATAATGTTTCTGTCATTACTATCAATTCAAATTCAAATTCGTCTATTGCTATTGTTGGAAACTATTTTATATACATTTTTATTGTCTATATTTTTTATAATATTATATTGTTTTTATATGACATAAGTCAATTTAATACAAAAATATTCTATCAACTACAACGGTGCCGTTTTACTTTTTGCTCGTCATCTTGATCTCCATCCTTCATTGCTATAATATACATCGATCTGTTTTTACGCTGTCTTTTTGCCGTAGTGTTTCGGTCATTTCTAACATATTCTAAAAATTTGCTTCCTTTTATGATCACTTTGAAAATGAAATACACTCGCAACAGAACTGCTTTCATCAAGAACCAAAATGGAAATTTAAAAATCGTTATTATTATATTGTTATATAAATATGTGAAGCAAATACTTTGTAGGTACCGCTTTTCACGAAAATTGCGCGGACGAATTTCACGAGAATTCACACAATTCAATAATATATTCCTAATATTAACTTTTGCACACTATTCAATTCTATTCAAAATTCAGAATATCTTTATTCACGTAGGTCTATTACAGACTATTATGATATGTCAAATCTACCGTCAGTTCGGAATGATATCGAGATGAGAATTTATGTATAATTACAATAATACAGATTAATTTAAATTCAAATTTGTGAGAATAGAGTGACCACCAGCATATGTTATTGCAAAAAACAAAAAATTTAATCAGTGTTCGCAACCTGAACAGACCAGTCCCCACAAGCAGCACCCGTTCACGAATATGACGGATATATAGAGAAATAGTGCAGTATCTTAATATATTTTTTTTAATTATGCATAAAATATACAAAATCAATAAAAAAATATTATACACATTAGTTATTAGTTTAATTGTTAATGCTGGAGAAAAACATACATATATACTCTTTAGTTTAATTGTTATTGCTGGTCCAAAAATCTTTTTGTATTTTTTACTATAGTCAAATTTAAATTAACCATTTGTCGTAGTTAGTTAATAGTTAATTTAAATTTATTACGTAATTAAACAATTTATCAAATACTAAAAAAAATTGTTCTCTGTCATGAATGCTATTGGCTTCCAACTTAACTTTTATGACTAACTCTTCCTTACCCCATTCATCTGGGATGGGTGTAATACGTTTTTCTCTTCCATTCATACCTGTCCGTATTTATCTCGTTATTTAACCATCTCGTTCCCTTTCTAGTCATAATATCTTAAACACAGTCCATCCATCTCTTTTTCGGCCTTCCTCTGCCTTTATAACCATCCACATATGTAACACTTTCTTCAAAATATTCTCTGAATTCCTAGGTATATATTGTAACAAAATTGTTCGACTTCCCCCTCCGATCGATCCCCGACCAATTCAAATGGGGATCGAAATTACAACGGCCTGGGCCGAGATTCTAACCTACAGCAGTGCCCTCAGACTAAATGATATCTGTCAGGGAGGAGTTTCTTTTTTAATAAAGAAAATTACGACAGAAAGAAAGAAAAAGAAATTACGAGAGAAGAAAATTACAGCAGTGCCCTCAGACTAAAGTCGTATCTGTTAGGCAGGTGTTGGCCTTCAGCGGGTTTGGAGTGCTATGTACACTGGCTCCTTATCGTCCGGTGAAGCTATAAAGGCCAGCTGTGGCCAACATCATAGTAGTCCGAAAAAAAAGGTCGTACCTGAGTAAGCAATGAGCAGCTGTTATCAGCCACGTGTCGGTGACCACGGATCCTCCGCATATGGCGTAGGTCTTCTCCCTCAGCGACACTTGCCACGGCACAGCAGCTATTGAAGTATTCTGACCAGACACTATGCGACGAGTAGATCCTTTGAACAGTTGTACATACATACATATAAATAAATATGGAGTGTTTGTTTGTAATATAGAAATAACTGTTTTTTACTACATGCGTATGAACACAATAGGAGACGAATTTGTTCTAATAATTATTTAAAAGAAATAATAAATTTACCTCTACGTTTAGATGTGGCACCATCTGAAAATATAATATTCTTGTTACACTATGATAGGTTTTGAGTCTATTTAGATACATATCCATCTTGACAACTTTAATAGTATTTATGTAGTAGTAGTCATAGGTTTACGTTCATAGGCGACGGTAGTCATAAGTTCGATTGCTGCACAATAAAAACATTTAAATTCATGTCTAGATTTTAGTTGTCATAAATATCAATTATTCATTTATTCATTTTCAAACATATAAATATTAGATATAGAAATAGAAATAATCTTTATTCAAATAAACTCATTACAAGTACTTTTGAATAGCCATGTTTTGATTCTACACAAGAAGAATGAGCAAGAAACTTGTGTGTTGCTCTTTTGAATAGATGTTTTTTTTATATATAAATATAAATTTATATATAAATATAAATAATTACAGTATAACAAGTAAGAGGCATGCGATAATCAACATAGAAATCGCTACGCACTCATTAAATTTTTCTAAAAATGTTTATAAAAATATTATCGTTAACGAATTCTTCAATTTTATAGTTAGTTTTATTATAAAGTTGATTAAACATTGGACCCCACACTAAGCGATCCTGTATCGCGGGAGTCCACAGAAGAATTGCCAGATGATTATTAACTATTACAGATCAGCGAGTAGAGTAGATTTGACATATCAGACGATTTAAGATATTTTTGTTTGATTTTATAAAAACATACCAGATCAATTGTTGATTATATAAAAATAAAATAAAATAAACAGAAAACAGAATAAAATAAAGAAAATAACAAAAATAGTATGATATATCATAATTAACAAAAGACTACATATGCGTGTGTGTATGTCAAATAAATAGCAGTGTGTAAAGTTTTTTTTATACATTGATTATATCTTTTATGCATAATTTAAAAATATTAGCATCTGCACTCCTTTATTTAAAGTATAAGTGTGCGAAATTTCATACGTATCGATTTTGCTTCAAGTATTAATATCTGGATATACGTTTATGACTAACATAATACAGAAAATAAAAGCCTTCTATATAATCTATACATCTATACATATAAATAAAATTGGAGTGTCTGTTTGTAATATTGAAATAACCGTTTTTTACTACATGCATATGAATATATATACGGTACATATACCAAAATAACATTTTTTATCATTTTTGTCTGTCTGTCTATCGGCCTGTTTGTTCCGGCTAATCTCTGAAATGGCTGGACCGATTTTGACGGGACTTTTTTGGCAGGTAGCTGATGTAATAAGGAGTCTTAGGCTACTTTTATTTTAGAAAAATAAAGTTAAATTCCACGAAGTCGCACGAACAGCTAGTATAATATACGCGTAAGTATACTGTAGTATAATATAAGTATACTGTAATTTCACTTCATATGTGTGCGCCTTATATTCCGATAACTGTACTGTGTCCCTATCGGTTCTTAGATACTATATGAGATAAAAGAACATTACCATCATCAGTCAGTTTTTTAAGAAGGCATTCGAACATAGCTTTATATTTTTCACGCACTCGCGATAAATTCAAGAAGTTCAGTATATTATTCTTGTGTCTTTCCGCCTCGCCAGCCAAGTCCGAATAGTCTATTCCTGGTGCATTGTTTCCCGTCAATATCCCTCCTGTATCTTCTCCGGATACAATTATACACACAAATATTAGCAGAAACTTCAAACACAGCATATTCAATAAATTTTATAAAATTAATTCAAAATATTTTGTTTTCTAATAAAAGATTGTGCCTAGGTAAGTCTATAAACTACAGTTCATTTTGTTCCATTTATAGAAATCTTGATAAACCATTTTATAGTATTTATGAAATATCCCAAAACATCTTCAAGTCCGTCATTTTCCTCAAAATTTTTCGTCTTTTTTTAGCACGCTCGTAAAGCTCAAACTGCCTCCGAGGTGAGTGTTATCGCTTGTTAAAAGGTTTGCAGCGTATTCTAGGCAACGTAGAATAAATATTTGGTTTCATTTGCCGTAGTAGGTAGTTAGACCCGCGCATAAAATCAAATGGGCGTGAAATTACGCAAAACTTTATGGAGTGCACCGCAAACTATGCAATAATGTTGATACACAATTCTGTATTACTGTGACTTACTCCGAGCAAGACGTCGTAGCGTAACTTGTTGCTATTATATTCTAGCAGGCGCTAAAGTTACTTTTGTGTTAATATAACTGCTTTATAAGTGTGAATTGCCACTCAAAGTGGAAACAATGATCCTTGTTCCTTTCGATCCCTCGAAGGATTCAACAGTTATTATCTGTGAAAAATAAAAGTACTTAAACACGTAAAGTTTCGTCCGTAAAGGGTGAGAACTTTTCACGACGCCTCGGGTCTTGTTTCGGACATTTTAAAACTTAGAAAATCCGCTCTTGAATTGTATTAACGAGTTTCGCTCCAGGTGGCGTATTAGAGGAGAGCCCACTGTTTTGTCCCCGGCCAATCTGTAATTAAATTTGTTACGTTTGAACGAGTTTCGTTTTGTCTGAAGAGAAATGGGACAAACCGGAGACGGCGCCGCGAAGTTCAGGCTTTTAATTCGAAATGATGGAACTGTGTTCACATTAATTAATTATTAACTTCAGTAAGGCATCTATTGGTATAAATAGATTCGATAGTAATTGACTGAAGTACTAAGAAACTTACCGTAATAAAGTATATTATATATTTGTTATATTGTCTTCGTGTGATACATTAACAAAATAGTCAATATTTGAACTCATATGTAAGCATTTCTTTATATATTATATAGCTATTTGTGTACACCATTCTAACATTATTTTGCCTTGTACATTGGTAAAGCTTGGTCGTTTAAGCAAAATAATGTGATTAATTGATACTCTTTTGCAATTAATTACAGTTCTGTAGGCAGACTGTGTGACCGTGAGATTATACATTGATTGTTAGCAATGGAGTTAAAAGACCTCATTATAAGTATAGTTTTGTTCACTAATTTCGAAGTATACAGGACAAATACCTACTAATTAATGACCTGTATGAGCTTCTAACGCCTAGCAGAGTCTTCAGACTAAAGTCTCTCATACTCGATAGGCCAAAGTCGGTTTTCAGCCGCTCCGCAGCTCCTTCCCTGGGGTTTTGTTTGTGCCTTATGCAATTTTTTGTTTGATACCAAAATGACTGTAATATATCAATATACGGTGTAAATCTGTTATGTATGTGTATCATTAAATAGTATAAAATAAAGTCGCTGTCGCTGTCCATCCCTATGTATGCTTAAATCTTTAAAACTACGCAACGGATTTTGAAGTGGTTTTTTTAATAGATAGAGTGATTCAAGAGGAAAGTTTACATGTACATCCGTGCGAAGCCGGGTTAGTTTAGTTCGAATATATATATATATATATAGCTGTAAACTGTAAAAGTGTAAATGAGGTTTTAAATAAACCGCAACGCATACAATGAACCGTGAATTACTTGAAGAACATAAACTTTGCACTTACATTTATTAGTATTCCCGTAACGGTGACCTAATTATAACTTTCCACGATGGGAGCTGAACAAAGTGGGGGGAGGGGACACTGCAATGCTGATTCTTTTTTATTGCCTAATGAATTTATAATAACCTCCACAAGTTTCTTTAAAGTAAGAAAGTTTTCGGCCGAGCGGAGTTTTGGTGAAGTTTGTTAACTCGAGTGGTTCACGTTAAGATGTTTGTTTTGTGTATGTTAACTTAAGTAACCATCGCTTTAATGGTATTAAAAAGTTTTTTTCCTAATATATTTTATATAATGTTCGTATTATGAACACTGATTATATTACTTGCCCAAATATGAATTTAAAAATGAATCTGTATTATTGTAAACATGTACAACATTTATTTGAAAAGAATACGAGCTGAGTTTCTTGTCAGTTCTCATCTCGTAATCATTCCGAACTGACGGTAGATTTTACATATAAAGTCTGTAATAGATCTACATGCATAAAGATATGTTGAATTTGAATTTAATTGAAATAGCAAACTAGCTGGCGGCCCGCCTGATGGTAAAATGTATTATTTTATAAATTAATAGCACTACGCACATCACGTTATAATGTGACGATTTCTAAGAGTTCCTATACCGGAGTCTAAGATGTCATACCTTTCACGTAATTTCACTGTCTAATCTGTACTGTATAATGTAAAACACAGTTTACAAAGTATGCTGTTTGGCGGATGAAATAGGTGAGACTGTCAATAGGTGATGTTGAAAAGTGTTTTGGCCATAAATTGATAATGTTTTTATTGTTTTATATAGCAATTAGTTTACCCTTACTTCCATTGGTCGCGGGTTCGATTGCAGGGTGCAAACATTTTTATTCATGAGTACGATTGTATTGGTTGGGTGTCTTATATGTATGTTATGTATGTACCAAAAAATAATATTTGTATCAGTTGTCCAGTAACATATACTCTGCTTAGCATGCGACTAGATGGCGCTGTGTTTTTATGATTATGTTTTCCAGGGTTCTTATGATTATTATAACTATATTCTAATACCCTAGCCCTGTTTTCTTTCGGTTCGTAATGTAATGTAAATTAGACTCAATTTTCCGCAACTGCTGCTGGTTTCTTCATAGGCTTCACGGAGCGACCTCACCTTTCTGAGGACTGTAGAACCGAGCTACCAGAGTAGCCAGCCAGGATCCTCCGAAAAGCGAAGAAGTCGCCTGTTATCTTCTCTGGCTTCACAGAGCGACCTCACCTTTTTGTAGCCAGCCAAGCTCCTCCCAAAAGCGCAGAAGTCTCCTGGTGTCTTCACAGGTTTTAAGGAGCGACCTCACCTTTCTGTAGCCAGCCAAGATCCTCCCAAAAGCGCAGAAGTCGCCTGTTATCTTCTCAGGCTTCACGAAGCGACCTCACCTTTCTGTATCCAGCCAAGCTCCTCCCAAAAGCGCAGGAGTCTCCTGGTGTCTTTACAGACTTCACGGAGCGACCTCACCTTTTTGTAGCCAGCCAAGCTCCTCCCAAAAGCGCAGAAGTCTCCTGGTGTCTTCACAGGTTTTAAGGAGCGACCTCACTTTTCTGTAGCCAGCCAAGCTCCTCCCAAAAGCGCAGAAGTCTCCTGTTATCTTCTCAGGCTTCACGGAGCGACCTCACCTTTCTGTAGCCAGCCAAGATCCTCCCAAAAGCGCAGAAGTCGCCTGTTATCTTCTCAGGCTTCACGAAGCGACCTCACCTTTCTGTATCCAGCCAAGCTCCTCCCAAAAGCGCAGGAGTCTCCTGGTGTCTTTACAGACTTCACGGAGCGACGTCACCTTTTTGTATCCAGCCAAGCTCCTCCCAAAAGCGCAGAAGTCTCCTGGTGTCTTTACAGACTTCACGGAGCGACCTCACCTTTCTGTAGCCAGCCAAGCTCCTCCCAAAAGCGCAGAAGTCTCCTGGTGTCTTTACAGACTTCACGGAGCGACCTTACCTTTTTGTATCCAGCCAAGCTCCTCCCAAAAGCGCAGAAGTCTCCTGGTGTCTTCACAGGTTTTAAGGAGCGACCTCACTTTTCTGTAGCCAGCCAAGCTCCTCCCAAAAGCGCAGAAGTTGCTTGATATCTTCTCAGGCTTCACGGAGCGACCTCACCTTTCTGTAGCCAGCCAAGATCCTCCCAAAAGCGCAGAAGTCTCCTGTTATCTTCTCAGGCTTCACGAAGCGACCTCACCTTTTTGTATCCAGCCAAGCTCCTCCCAAAAGCGCAGGAGTCTCCTGGTGTCTTTACAGACTTCACAGAGCGACCTCACCTTTCTGTAGCCAGCCAAGATCCTCCCAAAAGCGCAGACGTCGCCTGTTATCTTCTCAGGCTTCACGAAGCGACCTCACTTTTTTGTATCCAGCCAAGCTCCTCCCAGAAGCGCAGGAGTCTCCTGGTGTCTTTACAGACTTCACAGAGCGACCTCACCTTTCTGTAGCCAGCCAAGATCCTCCCAAAAGCGCAGACGTCGCCTGTTATCTTCTCAGGCTTCACGAAGCGACCTCACCTTTTTGTATCCAGCCAAGCTCCTCCCAAAAGCGCAGAAGTCTCCTGGTGTCTTTACAGACTTCACGGAGCGACCTCACCTTTCTGTAGCCAGCCAAGATCCTCCCAAAAGCGCAGAAGTCGCCTGTTATCTTCTCAGGCTTCACGGAGCGACCTCACCTTTTTGTATCCAGCCAAGCTCCTCCCAAAAGCGCAGAAGTCTCCTGGTGTCTTTACAGACTTCACGGAGCGACCTCACCGTTCCGCGGATTTGTTTTCGTTGTCTTCTCTCGAGTGGTACAAACGAATTAAAGATTTAGTCCGCGACCGTAAAGCTGTATTAATTAGATACAACTCTGAGCCCCGCCAACTGTAACTCGGTTTGTGGTAGCGGGTGATTGTTGAGGCGGGCACAGGGTTGTCAATATTAGAAAATATGTCTACATCAAATAAATAATAAAAAAAAAATTGTTGTATTATATACTCAATATTTCCCATCACAGCCAACAAGGACTATGTACACTACAAAACTTGGCTTTAGTGAATAACTGTATCATAAAAATATTCCAATCTAAATAAAAAATTGGAGGAACAACCTGAGGTTTAAGGTACAACGCCGTCGTGTCGAGACAACGTTTTATACTGTACTAGCTGCGTCCGTGGTTTCACCCATGTCAAAATTTATAGCCTATGTGTGTGTTTCATTAAATTTCATTCAGTAGTGTTTATGT